TAAGTATTTCTTCTTTGACCTGCTTTTTGAAAACTTTCAAGTTACATTCGATGAATTAAAGTAAATTTAATAAAAAGTATATATGTAGAGCAGGGCGAGGCACAAAGGTCCAATTTGACTTTGAGCAAATATAAACCATAACAATTATATCACAACAAATAAGACATATCAAACGAACAATTATCTGACTACGTTCAGTAAACTGACTTCTACTTCATCATTGTAGAAATGTGCTTTCTTGCTGTCTTTCAAAAATTTGTTATCTAGACCTTTTTATCCTATATGCGGGGTAACTTGTAACAGGCAGGTGGCAAAAGGTTTAAAGCCTTATTATAATTTTAAAGGTATTTTACAAAATAATTACATTTTTAACTAATGCTAAAATTACCAACGGAAGAAAATACTTTTATTATGGATTTTCAATGATTACCGTTTATGTCCCCCATTTCAAAGATTATCGTTTTCAAATCAAATTTGTAGCTGGCTATACATCTTTTTTCCTCTACTTTCAAATATTGTTGTTAAACAATGCTTAACTTTACTGATTTTTGGCACATCGGTGGTGGACCTTTTTAATCCAGGACCTTCATATATTAATATCTATTCTGCGATAAATTCTGGGAAAATATAATTGGAAAAATGTTATTCGACAAAATGTCCATTTGATCGATACCAAATTTAGGTTCTGAATTTAAATAAGATACATAAAAAATAATATAACCTAGAAAATGTTTTATAAATACCAATGAGTATATAGTTATACAAATAAGATCTTTCAGAGCACCGTGTTTGAGAAAAATATGCCAAAAAGTGCATTTTCATATTAACATATCAAAAAAGTTTATATTTTGAGTCTCTAGTAACACTTGCGGCCCGTTTACTAACGTTTTTGTATATAAATAAAACTACAAACAAAACTACTTACTACAAATTTATCATCTTATATATAAAAATGGAGCTGTCTTTCAAATGTCCGAATAAAACTCGAAAACGGCTGAATGGATTTGGCCAGTCTTAGTCTTGAAAAATTCCTGCCAATCCAGAGATTGTCCAAAAGGTGAGATAATATTTCAAATTCGCGTAGAAACTTACATTTTTAATTTGAATTCTCAAGTGTTTGCTCACTGCCTATTTGTATTCTTTTATCAACAGCTTGAAATAATACTATTATTATTGATTGATTAAGGCTTGCTTATGAAAAAATAAATAAATAAATTTGTTTCAAACGCTGTGTTGTGCAAGTACTTATTGGTTTAATGTGAATAATGTGTTACCATAACATTTTCTGAATTATATTATTATTGCATATAGGTTATTCAAATTGAGATCCTGAATTTGGAATTCATCGAAGGGGACACCATAGACAGTGATATGAATAAGAAAATTGGATTATAACACGGATAGTAATTTTAGAAATCATATTCATAAAAATCTCAATTATGTATACATACAAGTACAAGATCTTCGGAAACAAAGTTGTTAGAAAATTGCTTATGAAGATCGCACTATGACATGTGACATCAACATAAGTGCAGTTTAATTAGATATGGAAGTAATCATTACAAATATTTACAGTACAATCTATTTGCAATACAAATTTTCATTACAGTTGTGAATAATATGTTACCAAAACATTTTATGAATTATATTATTATTGCATTTAGGTTATTCAAATTGAGATTCTTAATTTGGAATTCATCGAAGGGGACACCATAGACATTTCTGTATAATCACTTATTGCAAGTTATAATAGACAGCGATATGAATAAGAAAATTGGATTATAACACAGATAGTAATTTTAGAAATCATATTCATAAAACTCTCAATTATGTGTACATACAAGTACAAGATCTTCGGAAACAAAGTTGTTTGAAAATTGCTTATGAAGATCGCATTATGACATGTGACATCAGCATAAGTGCAGTTTAATTAGATATGGAAGTAATCATTACAAATATTTACAGTACAATCTATTTACAATACAAATTTTTCATTACAATTGTGAATAATGTGTTACCGAAACATTTTATGAATTATATTATTATTGCATTTAGGTTATTCAAATTGAGATCCTTAATTTGGAATTCATCGAAGGGGACACCATAGACATTTCTGTCTAATCACTTATTGCAAGTTATAATAGACAGCGATATGAATAAGAAAATTGGATTATAACACAGATAGTAATTTTAGAAATCATATTCATAAAAATCTCAATTACTTCCCGAGCATACTACATACAAGTCATGGTGATAACAAAGATGCCACTAATTTGAATACACGATTGCAAAAAAGGGAAATCAAAATAAGCACATTAAAATTTATCACAATATGTACTCATGTTGAAAATGTACATATGTTCAATCAAATTCATAAAGAAGAAATGTCCATTTTATATAGCTATATAACAATTCGGGGTAAAACGTTAACATGGCTGTACGGATTGGGCTCAGTCTTAGTTGCATCATTTTATATTCATTAGTATTTATAAAATATTTTCTAGATTATATTATTATTTTATTTAGATTATTTAAATTAAAAACCTAAATTTGGAATCGATCAAAGGGGACATTTTGTCGAATAACTTATTCCCAGATATAACTGACCACTACTTAAATAAGAAGATTCGGTTGATAATATAACTTTGGAACACACATCTGTAAAAATGTCAATGCACATAATTACAAGTTCTCTGGAATAAAATATTTTGAAAATTGATTATAATGCTCGCATTCAATTAAATGTATGGACAGTTCGGGTGCTAGAACAAGTATAGCAGAAAAATGAGTACAATTCTGAAGGTATTCCTTTCCATAGATATGTCAAAATCTATGCATTTTAGACACAGTCAGGTATCGTTCATGTTTTATTGAATCACTCTACAAATTGAAAAAGATGAAGAACTTCAACAATCATTGGATAATGCAATGTAAAATATAATTCACTAATGGTTATTTTCCACTAATTTTGAAGAATGAACTGAAAAAATTTTCTATGAATTTATCGAAGAATGGATAGTAATATATGAAGATATGGGGTTAATAAGATTCACCACCAATATCTTAAAAACCAGTAAAGTTTAGCATTGTTCAACAACAATATTTGAAAGTAGAGGGGAAAAGATATATAACCAGTTATAACCTTGATTCTTATGACTTTGCTATCAGGAGATAAACGGTAATCTTTGAAAATCCATAACAAAAGTATTTCCTTTTGTTGTTAGTTTTTTGGGTTGTGAGCACTGTGATTTAGTTCACGAGACCTTAATATAAATTTTAACTATTTAATTGTTTTATAAAATGTAATGTTAATTTTGAGTGAGATTCAACACTTTAAAAACTTACATCTGTGTGGAGCACAAATGACCAACTGAACATTGACCACGGCTAAAGATTAAAAAAGACTTGGATTGCTTTATACCATATTTTTATAGAAAGTGTATAAAACTTCCAGTTTGATTGTATTAACAAAATATGGTCAAACGAATATTGTTATTTTGAATTATATAATTTATTATTATACAAGTAGATTTTGAAGTTTATTGTGTTTATAATACCTCATTGTCGGTACCATTCAAACTATACATCCTTACACTCCTAAAATAAAGTATTCTTTTTTTTATTCTGTAGAAGTTGCTTAGAAATACCTAACTTAGCAAAACAACGTTTGCCGGTTCAGCTAGTAAATAAATAATATTCGCGTGAAGCATCCTATTAAACGTAATTGAACATCATCTGTCAAAAGCGTTTGACATTTCACGAAATTGCCACCGTCCATTGTTTTATTTAAATTACGCTTCTATAAAAATTTTCAAATTAAAAATGTAAAGTTTCTACGCGGATTTGAAATAATTTCTCACCTTTTGGACTTTCTCTGGATTGGCACGAATTTTTCAAGGCTAAGACTGGCCAAATCGAATGAAGAGTGAAGCCCAAGCGTATGTTGAGAAACGGGATGAAGAGCGAATCTTACGTTCTGAGCTACGATGTCGTTAAACAAGCCAGGATTGACTCAAGAGCTGAACAATCTGCTTCAAAAGAGTTTCACGAGGAAGAGGAAGGAATACTCTATGGACCAGGCATCGCCGATTGAGAGTAAGTTGATATTTTAATAGTTTTTAACGGACTTGAAACTTTAAACGCGTTTTTCTCAAAACTGTGTTTTTCAAACTTTCCTCCATTGTATCTCAGAAACGGCTAGACCGAATTACTTGAAATTTACAGGGCACACTCAATATATTCAATATCAATCAATCGAAAATTTTCAAAACTTCGATTTTTTATAGCAAAAAACAAAAAAAAACGCCTAATTTGCAACTTTTATTTCAAATGTCTATCAAAAATCCAATTTTTTTTATATTCATTTGATTATAGGTCATTCCGTGCTTTGAAGCCTACAAATTAAAACGCCGTTTATTTTTTTTTCAGATAAGCCGATCAGCCGGAATCGTGGAGGAAGTGGGAGCTCTTTTTTTCGAGGCCGGGGTGTTCAGAGCGCTGTAACTCTAGTTTGACTAAATATTTTTAGCTGAAATTTTATATTTATACTGTCCAAATATGTGTTAATAAATGATAAAAAACTTGAAGCTTTTGTGTTAATAAATGTTTACTGGTCGTAGAATCCTAAAATATCCCTAAAAAACAGGCCGTCACATAGGAAGACCCCCTTAAAATAAATTCGTTTTAAATTAGGCACTTGCAATGTTACAATGAGTATCAATATGTCCCATGAACATTTTATTTTTGACATACTTTTCAGTGGGTAAACCATCCATATTATGTTTATTAGCAATTCTGTTCAGATTTTTCTAGAAAATTTAAAACTCTTCCAGTAATATTTTTCATGGCTGAACAACCCGAAATATGAGGAACAGATTGTTCGATAATTTATATTATAGTACAATTATTCATTTGGTTTCTAATAATTTTATATAAACTATCAAATTTTATTTGCTGTTTAACAAACATATATAAGAAAAAACAATGAAATAATTATTTACCAAAAAACTGCTTCATTAGAATCCGCACTTTTTCTTGGACCCAGTGCATTAAGAGTAGCGAACAAAGGAAAGTAAACAACAGAAAATGAAACATCTCGCAGCATAGTGGCACCAGTTCCTTTATATAGACCCAAAATACCTTTGTCTCTAATAAGTCCAAAAGTTAATTCAGTAGCTGATATCTTAGGAGTGGCTATTCCAGCTGAAAATAGAATATTATATTCAACCTAATACATAACACCTACCATAAAAAAAGACAAATATATATTATATAAAAGTTGTAAATTTATATTTCATTATATTTAGTTATATATATATATATATATATATATATATGTTAATTTTTTTTAATAATTTTGATGTTGAAATATGTGAGATTGAATCTTCAGGGCAATACATCAATTAAAAACTTCCTACAAGTTTTATAACATTTTTATTGTTTATATACGTTTCGACACATTGTTTTGTTTCATCTTCAGTGGACTATAGTTATATATATATATATGTTAATTTTTTTTAATAATTTTGATGTTGAAATATGTGAGATTGAATCTTCAGGGCAATACATCAATTAAAAACTTGTAGGAACTTATAACATTTTTATTGTTTATATACGTTTCGACACATTGTTTTGTTTCATCTTCAGTGGACTATAGTTTGAAAGAACCGATTAAACTATTAATTAAAACTAATTTATAAAAAAGTGATATGGCGTAAAAACTTAAATGTAAATTGTAATATTCCTAATTATTTCCTAATAATAATTGTTCACAAATGCACTACTAAAACACTTCTAGTCACATTAAATTGGAACGAAAGAATTTCGTATTGTACAACTTCGTATTGCGCATGTCGCAAAGTCGATGTTCGTTGCGACAGTAAATCAGAAATGTGCAACGCACGAATTTTTGTTTTATAATAATTCTAAATCGTTGATTTTGAATGTCCGTTGTTGTGCGTACTTGTCGTTCTTTGATTGGGTTTGTTGACAAGGAAGTTTCGTTGTAGTTGTGATTCTGACTACCTCTGGTTCTTCAACTTTTCTGATTGTTCTTTTTTATTCATCCTATATTATATAACAATCAGATTCTATGAGCAATATGGCTAAAGTACACATAATAATAATAATTATGAAATAATAATCACTGGGAGAAATAAAAAAAATAAATAAATAGAATGAATTACGAATAAAGAAAAATAAATAAATAAAATAAATAAATTAATAAATAAAAAAGCAAATTGTAGTAATTGCTCTAATAAGCAATTGACGGAAAACATTTTTTTTTACAATAAGTCTATAGGCAGTTTCTTATGTAGTATTCTTATAGGCGGGTTATCAAGCAGATAAGCCATTGTTGCATTAGGATGATCGTACATTGTTGCATGATGTCTAGTACTGATATTGTCGATGACGTCAACTACACAAAGTCCTACACATGTTGAGATCCGTAGTGTTTTAGATTGTAATCGTTGAACAAGTCACACATTTGATTTACTACAACATCCCTACGGTTGGATTCCATACGCCCATACAAGTTTAACTATGGTCTTATGAATTAGAAGCATATTATGATAATTGATAATGATAATTTTGATTTTCGATCAATAAGACAATTTAAATTTGAAAGCGTAAGTTTAATTTGTTTTATTTTGGCAACGATGTACGGCTTCCAGGTTAATCTGCGATCCATATGAATACCCAAGTATTTTACGGTGTTTTTGATTGGTATTTGTCTTTCATTTATGTACACAGCTTGAAAAGTTGACTTATTAAGCGTAATATGAGTGATATGAGTGGACTTCGCGATCATTAATTTTGATGCGCCATTTCTTTGTCCAGGTTACTATTTCATTAAGATGATTTTGTAGGATATTAGAAGAGTAGAATTTTCATTGCTAGCCAAAAACAAATATCATCAGCAAAAGTAGAAGGTAGAGTTCGTCATCGTTAGAAATTCACCAGTGAGCTACAAAAAAGGGCCTGATTTTATCGGAAAAAGTATTGAAGATTCACAATTGTTTCTAACTTTATACCATTTGTTGGTTTAGTATGATTCCAAAATTTTATTAAAGCAAGACAGCAGCAACCATTTAATTTTTGCTAAAAGGCCTTCATGCCATACTTTATCGAACGCCTGGCTTACATCGAGAAATAGAGCTGAGCAATATTGTTTGGATTCAAAAGCTTTGTCAATTGAATTCACAATTCTGTGGCACTGTTGGATCGTAGAGTGCTGCTTGCAAAATCTAAATTGATGGTCAGGTAATACATTAGATTCGGATACTATATCCTCAAGCACTACTTTCTCAAAAACCTTCGACAGAATGGATAAAAGACTAATTGGTCTGTAGGACGTTACCATATTTGTATCTTTTCAGTTTTTTGGGTATCATTTTAATAACGGATATTTTAAAAGGCTTAGGCTAGTACTCAAATCTCAGTATTGAATTAAATATGTAAGTTATAAAAATATACGCTTTAATTGGTAGTTATTTTAACATTTTGGATAAAATATTATCAATCCCAAGAAATTTTCTATTATACAGTTTAGCAACTACTAAAACAATCTTCTTCAGAGAGTAAAAGCCTATTGTAAAAAGCTTAGGAAATATCAAACACTTATAAAGGGAAATCTCAAATCAGAATGATTTCTAAAAACGGATATAAAAAGAATCTAGAATATTTTAACAGTGGTACCAATATATAGAACCTAATAATATTCACTTAATATACACTAAAGATACTAGATGGCGCTACTATTAATATGAATATTTAACATCCTGCGCTCGCAAAAGAATGACATTTTACATGTCAGGTTATACAATGTTTATTTATTAATGTCTGTATCCTTGTGTAAAGATATTAAGCATCCTTCGCTGAATCGTCTTTTAAATAAATTATTTTCGAAATGTAAGATCGTGGGATTGGAAAAATCAATGTTAAGTTTGAGCTGATTAATGTTCCAATCCCACAATCCTACATTTCGAAAATAATTTATTTAAAAGACGATTTAGCGAAGGATGATTAATATCTTTACACAAGGATACAGCCATAAATATAAGAACTGACAACAATTCGCTTCGCAATGACTATAAAATAACCCTAGACCATTTTCAAAAACGCCACCATATCTGAATGAAGCGTGTATTTTTATTATTTTATTATTTTACAAAAAACATATGTTTGCCGGTCTTTTTACACTTTCGCAAAATTTGTAAACACAATTCATTCAGTATTAAGACGTTAGTCAATTTGTACACACTAGAATGTAAGCAAAAAATTGTCAAAAAAAAAATTAATTACTTTAAATGTTCCAATTATTAATAGCCTGGTTTATCACAGTGTAATAGTGTATTTTTGTATAATTAATTTCTGTAAGTCCTTATATATAAGTTATAAGTTTATATTATTTTCCTCCTACATCATATGAAATCTTTTAGTTTTCCACTGAATGACGGTCTCGATGAAGACCGAAACGTATGGATAAATAAAGTATTTCAAAACTACTTTAGTTTTTTTTTTACTTTGTGTTACTGCCCGATTCTAAATAACTCATCAAAATATATATATATATATATATATATATATATATATACTATTTTTAATCATGTTAGCTATATTTTACAGAACAGTTTAGCAGAGTAATAGGTCTATAGACCTCTGCATATATTGCATGTTGAGATATTGTTGCTTATGTGTAGTCTTTGTCTATTAGATTTGGTTTCGCCAAGAATTTATTGAACAATCTAACAAGAATGGGTGTCAAAATGTCAATATATATTTGATAGAATTCATATGAAATTCCAACAAACCAGAGTACTCTGTTTTTTGCCGATTTAATTACATCCATTATTTCAATTGGAATTATTTTGCAATCAACAATATTTCTTATTAAAACTTCATCAACATTAAAACAATCTAATCTTAAACCCGAATTTCCTCTAAAAAAAGTATACTCAATCTTATTTTTATTCTTCTTTTCTCAAACGTCTTTAAATTTTAGTTGTGTCACTACTCTCTTCAAAACACCGATAAAATTTCCTTTGCCTTTTTGATCTTTGGAATTAAAATCGCAATTACATCCCCTGCTTAAATTAAACTTGTATTATTGCTACCCATTCCACTAGCCATGTCTATTTCAAATAATCTTTCCTTCTGTGCACATTTTCCATTTCCTGCATGAGCATACATATTCAGAAAATTAATCCGATCAATATTTGCCTCTAATGATCGTTAATTTTTATGCATCTTAATGTTTTTTACTGTTAATCCAAATCTATTAAACTTGCTGTGCCTCTTTGATTTTCATTTATTTTATTAACGCTATGATATGGCTTAAAAAAACTTAAATCAATTTCATTAGCCTCCTGCAAAAAAATAATATCTAAATCGTTGTCAATTATGAATTTTTTCAGAAGTATTTTTTCGTTTCACTTTAATTGGCGTCTTCTCTATTTCTTCCATGTTTTGTGTACCTTCTTTATTTTTTTTTTCTTTCCGTACAAAGTTTCATTTGTTATTGTCATTTTCTTTTCTTTATTTATTTTAGTATTTTCTTTACTATCATTTTTTCCATTCCTATCTTTTCGGGTTCTGTTTTCGTATTTTTTCTTGAATTATATATTCTATTGTATATAAATTTTCCATATGATATCTAATCGGTTCCTTTCCTATTATAGTCTTTATTCTTTGATCAGTTTTGGAAGGCTCCGTACAGTTGATTTTTAAGTGATTGTCAGCTCCACAATTAAAACATTTTCTAAGATGACTTTTAATTATAATTGAAGAAATTTTACCATTAATCTTAATTCTGCTTGGTAATTCTTTTTTATTTCCATGAGTATTATTCCCTCACTGCCCACATGTCTTCTTGATATTTTAATATTCTTCCATATTTGGACATATTATTATATATAAATACTCTTCTGAAATTTCTCATTGAATATTTTACTTGATCTACTGAGCCGGTTTACTTGGCTCACTTACTTCAATTTCGTATATTTTATTAACTTCCGATTTAAATTGCAGATTTTTTTCGTATTTTTCTTTTATTTTCTTTGCAATATCTTTCTTATTAAATTTCACGTTTAATATTTTATATTCCATTGAAATTCCGTGTATACTAGACACATTTCGAAAACACTTTCTATTATTTCTTTCAACCACATATGTACTTTTAATAGCAAAATTGGACCTTCTAC